TCTGTAGGGAGCTGGCGAACAGCGGCACGCAGTCATCACAGAGGGGTTTCCAGGGCGGGATTGCAACATTGCATACAGCCAGCTACAACTTTATTTTCTTTACATCCCATTCCCACCCCCCCCACCCCCTTTTTTTTTAAAAAAAAGAGAAAGGAGGATGGAGGGAATACTGTATTTGCCTCCTTTCCTACCTGTATTTTAATTAAAGTTGTAAAATGCCTGGGAGTTGAACACTGACGGGGCAGGTTTTCAATGCCCTTTTTTTTTTCCCTTCGAAGAACTGTTAGTTAATGGATGAATGGATCCGATCAAGATGAGAAAGAATATGCTAGATACATGCCTCTGAGTGAGATTTCTGCTGTCTTCATGCAGTGAAGCCTTTTTCTTTGAGTAATTCCGATCCAGTTGACGTCTGGTCAGAATCAGAGAGATTCACGGAGACTTCCGATTTCTTGCTGCATGACTGCCTTTGCTGCAAGTGCTAGATTTGCAGCCTTGAACTGGATGCCACAGGAGATGTCTTGCAGTACTGAGACTTCCCAGTTTTTTGGATGCATTCCTCCAAACCAGAGTTGTGTCATGAGGATTGGAGCTATGAGGTGGACAGCAGAAAATGCAAGCCTGCTCCAAGACCCCAGCATTTAAGCCTGGATGATTTATTAGTCTTCCCCTACTGAAGCACACAATGCTTTTATTTTCCCTAGTCATACTGCTTTTAGGCTAGTAGAAGTATAAGAAAGCCACAAGGAGTCAGAAAGACTGAAAACTAGGTGAAATTTGGGTATTAAATTACTGACGTAAGTCAGTGGTAGGGTTTCCCTTCTACCCCTCCTTGGCTTTTAATCAGCCTGGTGTCTTCTCCCCTAAAGGATGAAGAGTACTGACAGCCATCGCTGCTTATAATCAGTAACTCTGATGCTTGGAGTGTTGGCGATGAGACATTTCCATGAGACCTATTTAGATCTCTCCACTTCTACCAGGCTAGTTTTGCAGAACGTTGGGAATAAGCGCTATGTCAGATATGGCTGAGACTCCGAAGATGATCCGCATGTTTTACATTTTTCACAAATTTTGGGTGAGTGGTTAAAACATTTTCTTTAAGTCTGTGTGTCTTTGTGTATGTATGTGTGTGTAAGAACCGAAGACCTCTGCTTGGTGGTCAGCTCTGTTGCATTGTGCATAACTCATGAGGGGGGGGGGGGGGGGGGGGGGGATAC